ATCTGTATTCTCAAGTTCAAAAAGTGCTTCATTTGAAATATATGAGCCCATACATTATATGTCATTTTAAAAGTCAACAAAAAGACACTTTTTGTCAAGGCAACTTACATCAAGATAAATTCTCCAAATGCAAAAATGATCAAAAGAGAAATTTAAGAGTACATATTGAGCTTTCCATAAAGTCAAAGATCACCTTAAAAAGATGAAAATTGATAGAGTTATGACCAATGCAAGTTGAGAAATTTCGAGGAAATGCATGAAGTGCAAAGTGAGCAAACTTGAAATTTTTAACTAGTAGACCTAACTTTTGATGTTCAAACATGTTCACAATGTGTTATAAGACATCTAAATCAATGCACATATTTTTCATGATTTTTATTTCCTTTATTTGAATTTTTATTCATTTAGATTAAATTAAAACAAATAAAATATGAGGCAATGTCATAAGGCACATGGGCTTGCTTTCTTGGATCAATTCAAGCCCAAGACAACTCATTACAACCTTGCCAAAACCGTGTGATCTTCAAAATGATAAGGATTTCTCAAAAATGGAAGTTTTTAAATATGTTGGTTTCTTGTCTCATGGCCATGATTGCTTGGTCTCCTTGCCATATTTGTTGATTCTTTCCATCCCTCTATATAAACACAACCAGATCAGTCCAAGAACACATGCATCCATGCCTCTAAGAGCTTGCCAAAATTCTCAACATTTTTCAAACAACCCTAAGTTTTTAAAACTTGTGTTATAAGCACTCTTAATCCAAAACCTCAATACCGTTCACTTCCTGAATATTTACATAGTAAGTACAGGCAATTTTCAATGGTTTCCCATGTTTGAAACGACCATGTTCATCATCTCCGATTGCATTTTTTTCATTTATCATATTTTCAATTTTATGCATTGTTGGATCTTTCTAATCATCTAGATCAATTCATATGAATGTTTAGAGAAAGTTTCAGCCATCGCATTGAGTTGACAACATTCAAACCTTGGGTCACCATTTTTGGACCGCGCTAGGGTTTCTCATTTGAAACCTATAATACATAGACTTTTAGCTCAAACATACCCCATATTCAGACTTAGGAGGAAATTTTAGGGGGGATAATATGTTTTTGTCTGCTTTGATTTTAGATATTTTGCAGGTTCCAAAATTTTCTCATTGGAGAAGACGATGGAAACCACCACAAGGCGGTGGTTTGACTATTCTGGTCGTATGCGTGGTAGGTTGGAGCATTATGATTGACCCGTTTAAAACACCAAGACCCCACTTGGACGCACACTTTTTTTTATTGACTGATTTTTGGGAATTGATTTTGTATTATATACATTATTGATTAATTATACTACCCGGTGTAAGGGCCTCCCCAGCGGTAGAAGAGTGTGTTACTAAGGCGTTCATATACCAGGGCATGGGTTCGACCCCTGCCCTTGATATTTTATTTTTCATGTTTTCTCTTTTACAGATCCAGTGTGAATCAGCAAGTGCGCGCATCATACTCCGCCTCAATCATCACCATCCAATCCAGATCCAACGTTTCAGATCTCACGTCCACGTTAAACCCTCATAGAAGAGGTGCACTGGATTTCATTCAGGAAATTGGGCCAACATGTTTGGGCTTAGTGGATTTTCTTTGTTACACCCCATGGGTTTATTTCTGTAGGCCCATCAATTCTTTTTCTTTTTATAATTCTTTTAAAAAAATATAATTAACTTTTTTCTAATTAATGAATTAACACTAATTTAATTTAGGTTTTCTTTGATTAAATCAACTTGACTCTTTTTCTTTAATTTTAATTAAATCAAGTTAAACTTTTTAAAGTAAATTAATTAAATTAATTAACTTAATTTCCTTTCATTATTAAACTTTTCTTCAATTAAAAATAACTTAGGTTTTTATTAGGTTTTAATTCCCTTTTCTCAAAATAAAAATCAATTAATCATTAATTATTTTCCATCAAATAAACTCCTTGTTGCTTCTTGTAATCTTTGCGTTTTTTTCTTCTTATTTTTGCTTTAATTTTATCATAATTATGTAGCTGCTAAAGATTGTAATAGATTAAATAGGTTTTTTATTTTATTTTTCTTTCTATTTCCCCTAAATTTTGTGGTTTGTATCCCCTTTCCCCGAAGCTTTGTAATAGCGTAGGAAATCTATTTTCTATCTTTACCGTTTTCCTTATAACTATTAGATGTATGTTAATAGGCTTGTATGAAAAGATTAAAAGCAAACGATAGCTAACCCTAAGCAAAGATAAAAATTAACTGAAATCAAAAGCACTTTCACACATGCACCTTTAGGGTGACTCCACTTGTTGCCTTCAAAAAATACAATCATGTCCCTTGAACATGGGACGTTTTAGCAAAGACTCTCCGTTAAAAGATCGTAGTCCCTCGATGACCCTTCAATGTTGCCTCGATAAACAATCTTAGTCCCTTACAATAAAATTGCTAAAGCGTCCTACAAGTTGTCTTTATGACTGTACGATGACCTGCGCCTGTAGCTCAAACATCCAATGATAGGGCTTCCTACTAACTAATGGTAGGATAACACTATCTAAAGGAAGAGGAAATTAATGCAAAAGGATTTTGAGTAGGTAGATAGCTCGTAGTCGCTTGCTCACAAACGAAAATATTTTTCACACAAAACACTTCTTTTCTAAAATGTTTTCAAAATAAACACTTTGTATGCATTCTTAACGATACGAGAATCATTACAAAGTTTTCCGAACTTAGGCATTTTCAAAATATTTTCAAACTTACACATTCACAAAGCATTTTCAAAAGTGAGTTAGCGATTAAGAGCCCATAGATAACTATGGATGAAAATGGTGCTAATACATTCCCTTTTCATAACCTATCCCTCTTACTTAGAAAAATTCTCAAAGGTCTTTCCTGTTCTTTTCACCCTTTCCTTTATTGGATAAAAGAAAAGTCGGTGACGACTCTTGCTATCTGTAACATTTGTGATAAAACATAAAACCAAAAGTCAGTTCTCCCACCGTATTACAAGTTTACTCTGAAATTCACAAACACTTCTTCTTCCTTTATTCAAACCCTAACTTCTTCTTCTTCTCAATTATCTTCTTTCTTCTCCATTGTTAATTGCTGCCCATAATCATCTTGCCACTAGGATTAGTTGATTTAATCAAGTGAAGAGTGAAAAACAAGGGATTTCGATCGGGTTGGTTGTATCTGGTTCATAAAGATTGATTTGGAATTCTCTGTAGCTTTGGTGTAATTCCCAACAAACATTTTATCTAATACTTATGAATCGTAAACAGGGACAAAAAAATGCAGCCACTAGAATAAAAAATGAAATCGATTGATTAAAAAAAATACATGAAAATGTAGAAACAAACATAAAAAGAGGATTGAGGTTGTCATTAGAAACAATTGAGAAAACTCCTTAATGGATTAAAACACCTAAACAACAAAATCAAGGGGAATAAGTATTCATTTTCTTACCTTCGAATAGATGCGACTCCACCGGAGCAAAGGTCTCACTAAAAGTACCTTCGTTTGCCATATCTCAAAAATCCTAAATATTAATCAAAACAACAAAATCAATTAATTTAATTTACACAAATCTAACAAAACCCTAATTACTTTATAACGAATGGTAACATTACGAACCTTCGAAGTTCTCATAGAAAATCAAAAGGATTTAAGAAAAACTTGGCAGCGAAATCAGAATAACAAGTACGAATACAAAGAAGCAGAAATATTAAACCTTTAAAGGGGTTATTGGCGAAATCTCACAAAAGAAGTACTTTTGATTCGACAGTTGTTGGAAAGAATTTCCAAAAAGAAGGAAATGCACGATACTGAAGAATGAAGAAATAAGAGGAATGTAAAAGGAAGGAGAAACAACTTATATAAATGAGAATGCATAAGAAATCTATTGAGTGTCTCAATAAATTTAGAAAAACTATCGTTCACAATGTGATTTACATAAAAAAATTTTGGAGAAAGTGAAAAAGTTATATTGAAAAGATGAGAAACCGTAGAGATGAATGATTAATGCAAAAATTTAAAAAAATCCAATAATTATGATAGGCAAAATTACTATTAAGTTATAAAAATCTATGTCTAATTAGATTTAATTAGGAGTAATTCATAAATATGATATTAGTAGTTTACTATTTTTATATATTAGATACAAAAATAGAAAATGAATACATGACAAAATTTGAATAAAAAATGAATACATCACAAAATGAGATATATTAATTTTTAAACTTTTAATAAAAATATAAATATATAAAATTAAAGAAAATAAAAAAAAAACGTTGCAAAATTTAAGGAGTCTAATATAAGTATTTTGGTAGTATTTATTTAGTTTTAAAATTTATAAAAACATTCATAAATTATAATCATCAATATATCACTATATACTTTTATACATTACAAAGGCCTCTCACCTTCCCTTCTTCTTTACTAAACCTCATCAAAACCAAAAAGGTAAAAATAAGCCCAACCTCTCAACTACCTAACCACCCATCTCTCATTACATCACTAATCCAATTTCACTCCCCCTAATTTACAATTCTTCTCTCTCCCTCTCTAGCTTCCTCCCTCTTTGTCTCTCTTTTTCTCAAGCAAAAGCTTAAAAGAGAAGCAAACAAAGCTGAGGACATCCCCAAACATAGCACACATGCAAATTCACCACCATCCACTTTTTCATCTCTTCCCTCTTTCACCATTCACCTCTCACAAAACCTAAACTTTAACCTATCCAAATCTCATCCTCTCTTTCACTCCATTCACCCCTAACATCAATTCAAAATAACAAACAAAAAGAAACCCCATTTTGCTTCCTCCAAAAAACCCCAAAAATCAATCCTTTCCTCGTACCCATTTCTCAATTCCCCCAATTTTCAACCAAAAATCCTCTCTTTCTTGAAACCCATTTCCCATTTCCCCCAAAAAAGAAAGAAGAATCACAATCACCATCACAAGAAGATCAAAGCTAGAATTTTTTTTCAATCTCCACCTTCAATGTGGCGACCGTGGGGAAAATCAACGGCTCGGATTCACAGCTCCTCTTCCTCCTCCTTACCCTCTTCCACATTCTCTTGTTCTTCCTTCAAAGACATTCAAACCCTTTGTCTCGACGAACCTCCTCACCAATCCTTACCCTCTTCACCAACCCCAAAATACCCCATTTTCCAACGAGTCCTACTCGCCAACTCGCTCCTCCGAACCTGGTCAACTCACCTCCACCAACAACAACCCCACAGATTACCCAGAACCCGCTCTCACCCCGAACCAGAATCCGAACCAAAACCAAAACCATCACCATCCCCATCACCAGAACCAGATCATGAACAAGATCCATCACGCAATGAAACCACCCACGCGCCACCGGAACTTTTACCAGCTCCATCACTTCCACCACCGATCTACTTTCCAGGAACAGAACAGCGCGTGGTCATCTACTTCACAAGCCTGCGCGTGGTGAGACCAATCTTCGAAGACTGCAAATCCGCACTCGCGATCCTCCGCGCGTTCCCCGTCCACCTCGACGAACGTGACGTATCAATGGATTCCTCCTTTTTGACCGAGCTGAACCGGATAATGGACCGAACCGGTCGACCCGGTTTACCATTGCCACGTGTCTTCATCGGAGGAAAATATATCGGCAGTGGTGAAGAGATTAGATCAATGCACGAGATTGGCGAGCTCAAGAGATTACTCGAGGACTTGCCCGCAGTGGATCAAACTGAATGCCACGTGTGCGCGGGTCACAGGTTCGTTCTGTGCAACGTGTGTAACGGTAGCAAGAAGGTGTATACAGATAAAGCTGGGTTTAAGATTTGTGTTGTTTGTAATGAGAATGGGCTTCTTAGGTGCCCTTCTTGTTTTTCTTTTGATTTGATTAACAATGAAAAAATTGAATAAGAATTTTTTTTTTATTGATTAGGTTAATTAGTTTGTTTTTAGTGTTTGATGTATAGGTCTAACAATGTATGATATTTTGAGTGATTTCTATCTCACTCTGAAAATGGTTAATATTTTTAAGACCATATGTTAGATATTTTGTTTTCATTTATTGAATTTTAACATTTTTGCTTGTAATTTTGTTAATAATTTTTTGATTTATTTTATGCATTTTAGAAGTGAAAATTTGGGGATAATGGATGTGGATTGTGGAGTGATTTTGAAGGTGAAATTTGGTGGTGGAAAATGGTGTAGCAACTAGAAAGTTTTATTTATGAATATTTGTTTTAGTTTAAATAAATGAGCTGTATGTTTGAATAAAGTGGTGTTGGGATGCCATAGATGGAAGCAAATGTTTGAGAAATGGCACAAAAGTCCAAATCCAAGACAGTTGTGGTGCCTTTGCTTTGAGAAACAAGAATGCACTTTTCCTTCGACTATGTTTGTGTCAAAGTTTTTAATTGACAATATTGGATTACATTTTATAGGATAGTGGAATAAATAATCATTAAAATTCAATTTTTATCAAAGTGGTTCTTAAATTGCAAGAAATCATAAGTTTATGATGTGGTTGTAATAGTGGTTTCAAAGTTTGAAAGACCCCAAAACCTTAACTGAAATGAAAATTTATCATAACTCTTGATCGTATTCGTGTTCAAAACTTGAAAGTGGGTCGAAAGATGACGTCTGCTTTGTTGGAAATTGAGGAAAAATGGTGGTTATACATGCAAGGCACTCCGACGATCAAGTAAGAATGAGTGCAAAGAGATATAAATAAGATATTAGGGTTTAAAGTTTGAATATTAGATACATGTCCCTCATAAGTGTGAGGGTTTATATAGTGCTCCCGGTGTATAGTCATTGGTTTCTATTTTTGGGCATAGATATTAGATTCCACGAAAATAGGTAACTGTCAAGACCTGGTCAAAACAGGCAGTCCTGCTTGTAACTAGTCGTTGACGGGCAATGGTGAGATGACAGGTAGATGTGTTGTGAGCGCTAATCTGGTTGTCTGCTCGACGTGTAACGAGCAGATCTGAGATGGTCGTCGAGGAGGATGAGAGCGTGATTTGGGCGACGCTGGTCATAGTTAGTGGGCCAACGCTTGTTGGGCCATTCTGGAGGCAAGAGCGGATTGAGCCAATTCTAGTCATTGGATCAGTCCAGAACACGAGCCCTCCAAGTCGTTGCTTTTGGGCAGAGGAGTGATGACTTTAAGATGTGCTCTCGAAACAGAGGTGTTCCTCGGTCGATTTTGTACGAGGAGTACAAGTGATGCTCGACGTGTTCGCCTCGCGGGGAGAGGAACAATTGAGCAGCTTTGAGGAGTTATCGTGTTTTTATGGGCAATTTCGTATGAGGAGTCTGCAAATTGCTCGGGGTGTTCATCTCGCGGGGAGAGGAACAACTGGTTGGAATTTTTGGAGTTTGCGTGCTATGCTTGCATCGAGCCACATGTTGTCATAAAGGCGTGATGATGACTAGTCTAAGAACTAGGGTGTAATGATGACACCTTTTAGAGTTCCCTAGGCGCGTGCTCGCTCACGTGCCAGCAAGCTGCTTTATAGAAGGAGGTGAAGGAGTTTCATTTGCACTTTTCGCTTGCTCTCCTTTTGCTCGTCGCTGCTTATTTCTGCTCGACACAATTGTTCTTTGAAGTTTTTCTCTCGTTCCACCGTTCGCCGTTGAGACTTCCACTTATCCCGCCGATAATCATTGATAACTTGGTAAGTTTCTTGATTTTCCTCAGTTATAGTAGAATTTGCTTTTGTTATAGGCTAGATTTTGTGCTTCTTTTCCAAGAAATGCATGCAGTTTAGGGTTTAGAGTAGCTTAGCGTGAGAGTCCCTGATGGAGCGTCGGTGTTTGGCGGTGGTTTCGTTGTCTGAGGACGGTGGCGTGGGGCCGTTTCTGAGCTTCTGTTTTATGATCTTCATCAAAAACGACGAGTTCTTCATGAGCGGCTTCGACCCAGAGGTGTCGGGGAGATAGTTGCTTGTAGGATTTTTGTGCTCTTGCTCGTTGCAGATGTGCCCCACGAGAGAGAATTTGTTTTTCTTTTTGTGGCCGAGTGAGGGCTCTGGTCGGGACAGGGTCCTCGTTCCTTTGCGCCCTTTAACTTGATTAGCGATGGAATGATGGATTTGATTTCTATGTCAAATTCACTTTTGTCCTCTGCTTTTCAGGTACGATGACTAGTGGTACCGATGATGAGTTAGTAGTCGAACCCAACGATTCCTCACTAAGTCTTTCTGAACACTCTTCGACAGAGGAGAGCACTTCGGGAATGCCTGAACCTGATCCGGTCGAGCCAGAGTTAGTCGATGAGGGGCAGGATGCGCCCGTAATCTGAGCGGATCCCTTAACTTGGGTCGCGCCTGACCCTTTGAAGCATGTCTCTTATTTTTGGGAACACCCGGATGAAGTGTTCGCCTCAGTTTCTCTGGGGATGGAGATAGAGGGCGCCAAGGAGGAGTGGTCGGTATATATACCCAATCCAAATCACCGGATATGTCCGGAGTTTGAACTGAATCATATCCCTTATGTACGAGATTCTCTTTCGGGAGATGGGTTTCAAACTCTCTTTTTGTGACCTTTAGATAGTCGTTCTACGACATCTCTGCCTTGCTCCCTCGCAACTACATTCCAACTCGATTGCCTTCCTGCGGGCTTTCGAGATTGTGTGTGATTATCTGCAGATAGGGGCTACTGTTCCTATGTTCTTCTACTGCTTCCACCTCCAACGGGGCGCTCATGGTGCTCAGTTCACATGGGTTTTCCTCAAGCAGGAGAACGGGAAGCTGTTTAAAGCTTACCTTCATTCTGTTCGAGATTTTAAGAGGAGATATATGCTGGTTCATCCTGTGTCGGGGATGGCGCTGCTGAACATTTTCAGGAGCGTTTAACTGGTCGGCGAGACCGGGAAACCTCAGTTGAACGAGGAGGGGAATCTGGTGGTGAAGCTGGTGCCAAAGTTTCACTTTCATTAGTCAAGGAAACATTATAATGATGAGAACGACCATTATATATGGAAGAAGGGCCAGCTGAGTGTCGAGAACCAAGAGAGTCATGACCATCTCTCGAGCTTTGTTGCAAGGATCCCCCTAATCCAGCGTATGAATAAAGGAGAAAGGCCGTTGACTGACAAGGATGCGAATTTTCTTTATGAACATGGTCTTATAAATGTCAAAGATCTCCCCGAGAGTGAGGATCCCATGACGTGTTTAGGTAGTTTATTCTTTATTTTGACCTGATTCATATGCTTGATTTTTTATCTTTGTTTGCTAACTCTAATTTATTGTTTCTTGCAGAAAAAATGAATCCCGCTGTCGAGCGCATGGCTAAAGCAGTTATCATGAAGGTGAAGAAGGCGCAAAAGTATGTCAGACCCTCTCCAGGTGATGCGGGGGTGGCTTTAGAGTCGGGTTCGAGCATATCGTTGACTGGTCCAGTAGCCGGAGCTATCTCTCCCCAGCAGGTGTCTTCGAGATTCAAAAGGCAATGCCTCGAGGGCACGATTGATCTGACGGGCGAAAAGAAAAATGGGCAGTTCGATCTGCCTCCTTGTTGGCATAACAAGACTTTCTTCGAGGGAGTCACTCTGCAACTTCCTCGAGCTTAGTCGCTTTTTCTTGAGGAGTTGGGTTGTCCAAGCAAGAGGGTGACGTTGGCTCGAGATGCTAGTGTCTTCATGAGGGTTCTGGAGATGGTCGTTGCGTATACCAAGAGAGGTACTTCTCAAGAGGTCGAGATGAGGAAATTTCAGGCCAAGTTGGAGACTTCTGAGAAGGAGTGAGCCAGCGGGGAGGCTTCCCGAAAGACAACGGTTGAGAGCTTGGCGAAGGTGGCCGAGGAGCACGATACCCTTATGCTCGAGAAGAAAACTCTCGAGGAGATGGTGGCGTCCCTGAGGGCCGAATTGACTCCTGTCGAGGATGAGCCGAAAGAGGTCTGTCTGAAGACTCATGCCGACTTGGTTTCCCGTCTCCAATTGGCCGTGGATGACGGCTTGGCCAATGTTGATGGAAGTTTTGATAATGCGGTGTCGCAACTCTGGGTTCTGAATCCTGACGTCGAGTTCAATACAGTCAGAATGAGGCTCCATTACTATGTGTCAAATGGTAATATATTCATTCCTGAGTTCCTTCGGATCGATGAGGATGCTTTGGTCCGGGAGCCTTCTCGCGTGAAGCCTGTTCCCGAGGCCGATGCAAATAAGGAAGGACTTCAGCCCAGTGTTTCATCAGTTTATTGTTTCTCTTTTTGTTCTGGCATGCGTCCCGTATTGTTGTAATTTGTTTTCCTGGGGCTTTGTCCATTTATATAATTTTTAAACAATCGTGGTCCTTGTGGCCACATGTTTGTCTTGTTTGGTTGGGGGCCTTGGGCCTCCGTTATGTAATCTTACGTTGCGTCCCTTGTGGTCGTCTTTAGAATATTTCGACTGTGGTGGTCGCTTGTTTTATTATGCATCATTTAAGCATTTTCAACTTTGTTTGTGCATGATTTATTGTATGTTTTGATAACATGTTTGTATGCCTGTCTGTTTGAGACACTTTTATATTGATTAAGAGTTTGTGGTGGGTTTGCTCGTTAGTTTTGAGTTTGCAAGTGTGGGGAGATTGGTCAAACAACCAGGGTGGTTTTCGGGCATGGGCCGGAATGCAGGTATCATTTCAAGGATCTGAGCTCGGCGGTGCAAACTTCCCATCGCGAGCTGGATGTTCTGCCATCGTGGTACAACAACAATGGAGCTCGTTTGAGTTTTCCATGTCGGGCTAAGAATCTTCTCGTCAAAAAGATTGAAGACTTGCTTTTCGTTTAATTTAGAGTGCTATGCTTGTACCTGGGCATGCATGCATGGTCGAACTGATGTGCTCGTCGTTTCGATGGAGCATGCCGATTGTTTTAGTGCATTAACTATAATATTGTTTAAGTTTTTCAGTGTTCCATGGCCGAGC